ATGGAAAATATTGAATGCAGACAAGTTCTTTTTGACCTCCTACTCAGAAGTATGTTGACGGAATCTGTGTATCTGTCTATGGCATCTTATACTCCGTTCCAATGGAACTTGCATAAAAGGTAAACAAAGGGGTCACTAACCTGACTATAGATAGTCCACAGATGACCAAAATAAGTAAGAATCAAAAATAAATTTAATGAATGTTTCATTTTACTGATTTTGTTATACGTCATACAAGTACGTTAACGTCATATTCATTCATAATCAATGTGTGACAGATGAAGTATATTATTAAATGAATACTATTTTACTTATTTATTAATAATAACGATATTTTTCAGAGATAGAATTAAAAATATGCATAATAATTTAAATTTTGTTACAGTTTACTAGGTTATTATTGATATTTATATTGAATACATTGCGATTATTATGATTTCTATATAATGCATGAATGATTTTTTTTTATCGTACGTGACTATAGGCAAATGTAGTTTCACCCATCCAAATTCTTTTCTCTTAATTTTTTTAAGATGTATATGTAAACGTTTGTTTACCTTTTATGTCTATTGGAATGAAGTATAGCTCCTAAACCAATGGACTAATTATGATATGTATGCGTGATTATTGCTTCAAAATTACGTGTTAGAGATTAGCATTTAGCATTTAAATTCGGGCTTTAATTTGAAAAAAAAAATCTAACGGTGTTTGATGACAATGTTGATAACATTCAATGGTGATTCTACTTTGATTGATAGGATTTGCACGTCTAATTAAATTTTATTTCACAATGAGGTGAACTGCAAGGACTGCTTCGAAATTTTATGAAAGTGATAGCATTTTGTATTTAATGCTGTAGAATAGTATTTATAAAAATATTTATTGAAACGTCTCTTTATATTTGATTTATCTAAGTGTCTTTACATTTGTAATAATACATAATTAATATTAAGTTTATTTTTAAATATATTAATCTGCATAATCATGGAACGTATTGTAAATAATATACATCTAAGCGTCCGGTGTACCTGCCTATTTAAATACTTCGATGTAGTTACGTTTTGCTAGAATATGTAGAAGCATATACAATATTCTGAAAACATTAACTGAACTTCGCTAAGACATGTTAAGTCTTATTATTCTACTTGTTAATCCGAACTATAGTGGTTAGTATACACATTATATGTAGTTCTGGTAGAAAATATTATTATACTATTATTCCGTGTTTATTTATTTATTTGCTTGAAATATACATTTTATACAGTTATACAGTACACACAAATGTTTACTAACGTTACATTTAAAAACATAATTGTTATTAACAAATGAACCGTCAGTGCTATTAAAATATATTATTCGAAATATCCAAACACCTATCTTTAAAGGTCGTACACAATAAGGCAAACTTAAATTCTCCACCAAGCAGAATATAACGCACGAAGTAGCTATTCAGAAAGTAGACTGACGTCACCCACTGAGCCGGTATTTCCCTCCCCCTCATACCCTACCACCCTGCCCCGACACTAGCGCGTCGCTGACTGCCACTGGTACTCGAACACAGACGCAGTCGTTGAGTTTCACACGGAAACGAGTACAGCAAGCGCGGCCATGTTGTAAGAGTAAATGTGGCAACGTCGCGCACCAGACATCGACCGATTTAATCACTTTGGTACCGTTGATTAAACTTGATGTAGCCTATACCTAAGTTCACATTTTTATTGCAAGTTTACTGTACGTATTTACTTTTATTACACTTATTTATTTAATCCATTCATATGGATTTCTATATTATAATAATAAAGAAGCAAAAACGTTGTATTTACTCCTTTAACCTAAAAATACGGACCGAGGAGTATTTCTATGGTATTATTAGTAGAGAAAAAGCGCAGAAAGCTATTATTTTTATAAGGCTTAAAAGATAAATTCATAAGAAAAAATTACACGCACTTGTACACATATTTAGTATGTAATACAAATACATATACTAATAAACAAATATTATACTACCTACTCAATTGTTTATACTCTTTGACAATAGAAGCTCCTTTAAACTTAATAAAATTTCGACTTCTAGTTATTACAAAGCAAGTACAGTTTTGTATTATCAGTACCTTTTTTTAAAAACCTGTGTTAAAAATTGAGAGAACTTTAATATATTATTTTGTATTCTACATATTCGGTAGTCAAAATATCTGGCCCGGAGGACGAAGCACTTATAGCGAATTCACCATAAATTTAGAACAATTGCATCCAGGGATTTTCCTCTCTAACAATGGTAAACAGTCAACCGACTCGTATAATTTATAAACATATTGTAAATAACCTCAAAAAGATCAACAAAACATAATAATTTGCAAAATCACAACATACAAATAGAAATATATATTTATTCATTTACGTATGTATATAACTATAATATATATGTATTTATTTCTATAATTTAACATCCCCTCCAGAGGAACACATTATACAATTAAAACTTTGGCCGTATCAAATCGCGGCTGAAGTACTACATAATATATTTATAATACAAAAAAAAATGGGACAATAAAAAAACAGTCGAGAAACAAATAAATTTAAAAAAAAAAAAAAAAACAGTCAACCGTCTTGTCACTTGCAGCGTATTACAAAGCGATTACTTTACAAAGTGATTAATATATACCTATCTAGTTGATTCAAGTACCCATACTACCCATTTAAAGAGTACATTTTGTTATTAACTGAATGAACATTTGTATAAAACCTAAAAATAGAAATAATAAATGTTACCTACCCAGTGATTCCTTTAACGAAGTTTTCGGCCGAATGCAGCATCACAATAAACGTAGAGCTAAATATACACATGTATAGATATAACGACTCTCGCAAAGCGGCAACAGCGCATTATCGGTCGTTCGGTGCGAGCAACCAACATGGCAACTGCGCATTTTTTTGTAGTCTTGCTCGCTCTCGCGAGTCAAGCTGACGCTCGCTTCTTGCCGGTCAGACGTCTTCGAGTTACTTTTTTTTATAATTACGTCCAATGTAATCTATATTAAGATTAGTAATGTATATAATACTTTTATTACTCAAAGTTAAACTGTCAAAATAAGGAATAAGTGTTTTCATTAAAAGCTACAAAATCAATGATTTTTCCACTTTATTGACTGACTATATTGAATAACTATATAAATGTTTTATTTATTTTTCTATTATTTATTATTAATCAAATTGTTTTACAATTTCAATTATAACAGCGTAACAAACTATAAAAAAGTTATATGCCCTATGTATGTCTACAAATAAAGTATATAATATAAGCAATAACCAATTCAATACTCAAAAAATATTGTAAATACTAAGGACATGAATGCAAGAAATGTTCATATTCACCTTCAAAATAAACTGGAAACCATTGTGTTAACTGGTGAATTTGTTCTAATGTACTGACTGACTAGACATCAACATGCCATCCTACATTGGTGACCCGCAGCTTATTCCGTTTGCGCAGACGTCTGCAGCATTCCATTATAATACCTACATAAAAAAATACAAATGTTGAAAGGATATTTAAGTATTCACAGCTAGCGGCCCCAATTAGCGTGTTAATAATTTACCTGTAAGTTGACGATAAATAACAGTGGCTGTAAACAATGTCTGTTGTATTGTGTTAAAAGTACACCGCCGAGGTTTCGCAACGTCTGCGTTACCTGTCAATCACAGACAATATACATATTCAGATAATTATAAAATACTAGCTGTCCCGGCAAACGTTGTTTTGCCATATAAATTAATAACGCTTTAAAAAAATAGGGGTGACAATTTTGGGTTCTATGTATTTTTTAAATGATACATAATAAAAAAAATTGTCCAAAAAATAAATAATATTCGGGGTGGACAACCCTTATCATCTAGGGGCATGAAAAATAGATAGTAACCGATTCTTAGACCTACTGAATATGCATATAATATTTCATAAAAATCGGTCAAGCAGTTTGGGAGGAGTATAACAATGTTAGTAGGTAACTAACATTGTGACACGAGAATTATATATATAAGATTATTCAAATAGTTGTATGGAATTGAACGTGAACGTTAATTATATATAGTGTAATGTCGCATTTATGTGGAACACGATATATTTTTAAAGTTTTAGGAATAAAATTACCATAAGGTTACCACTAGTAGTATTTCATATTTTAGTTTTTAAGTTTCAAATCCATTTATTTTTACATTAAAATAAAGTTTTGACTGTCTGTTTGTTAACAATGTTATTGTATGATTATAGTTCGTTACTAGAGCAGTTGACAATTGACACAATATAAATTGAGCTCCTCAATAAGTGTATTAAAAATTATGAAAGAAATATATATTTAGTATTACGAGTAATTAGGATTACGAGTTTTTATTACCTCCACTTCTATGCGTATCCTACTTAACACGTCAATAAACAATTAAACTTGAATGGCAAAAGACAAGCAAGCGCTTCCCGGACGAAAATGGCAACTGTTGCCAAAAGTTACATAGGTCGACTACACCTTGTTTAGTTATTTTATGGAATGGAGAAGAAAAGAAGCGGTTAAGTCCCAATACTACGTTTTTTATATAGTTTTAATAACAAATTGATAGAACAACAAAGAACATAAGTGTACATTTTATTGCTTAAACAATTTTCATTATACTGGCTCCAAAAATATGTTTTGATAACGAAACATTTTATTATTTGAGATATTAGCTACAACCGTAGTTTTGTGACGTTATATTGGTCACACTGTTTATGTTGACCCACACTTGTATTGCCTGTCCTGTCTATTTATTGTAGTCAATAATTACTTCTTCTTTCTGTTATTTCTTAAGAGCAGTAAAATGTAGCCGACCCTAAACTTAGTTGTTATTTGTGCTTTATATGTTTGTATTTGGCTATCCAAAATAATTGTCCTGTTTCATGTTCATATATATACAAAAATAAAGAAATTGTAGTTATTATTATTTATATTCGGAAAACATCTTTCGTGTTACAGCTATGGCCGAGTCCAGAATGTCAAGTTGCTGGGTAGAACGGAAAGTGCAAGCGCAGTTACTAGTACTAGTGGCTCAAGTGGGGTTTGCGCTACAGTTGCTTTCATGGACATCAAGTCAGCATCGAAGGCACACAACGCTGAGCATGTGCTTGATGAACGTACCCTTACCACCGAATACTATGAACCGGCAGCGATACCGACGGTGGCGGGTGCACCGTCCGCTGGCTCGTCGCCCGCTGGTTCTGGTTACTCAGGGTCTTCGTCCTCCGTGAATTCAACACCAGCTCCCGCTTCGGTTTCCCGTTACCATCTATCGTGAGTATTCTTTAAAGTTTTTTCTACTCTACGTGATGAATCATGTTCCATTTTTACGATGACTTAAGTTTAATATATAAATAATTATCTATATTTACATATAATAATAATTTATAATCTTTATGTTATTACTTTTTACTTATAGTGGCCATTTGGAACATGATGAAACACACTGATATCATTCATTTCTAATCTATTTGGTCACAGATATTAATAATAAATTGTTATAAATAATAATACTATTTGATTTTTACATTCTTGACCACTGGATTAGATGAGTGAACGCTTGTCACTAAATTGCTATCGCTGCGATTTTGCCTATTGACGGCACCACAGCACAAGCATAATGGAGCGGCTGTGACGATGTGGTTGAAGTTCTACCTGATTATATAAGGACTGCTTATTGTTGCATTGTCGTGGTATGTTTGAATTTTGAAATCCTTGAGAGCATGCCCGGCTTTAGAAATTGCACACATGAGTCGGTGCCGCCGCCGCCAAAAGTGAATATACGGCGATCTCTGTATGGATTGCAGTGATATATCTGGATTGCAGTGCGGAACGCGCATCAATCAGTGACAGTGAAGTGATAAAATGTGACAGTGCCTACATAAGTGTCTCTATAACGGAGTACAGTGAATTTGGATCGACCTTCTCCAAGCAAATATTCCCTCCCAACAATAACTGGCAGGCGGCGGCCCCTATTGAAAGTTTTCGATTATGCACCTTGTTAATAACGCTGTGTGTTTTTGTTAAACACTGTAATAATATTTTCCCGTAATGGTTTCTTAACCGTCGAGGACACTTTTATTGTTTTTAAGATCAATTTTACAATAAATAAACACTATTTTGATGCTTTAATTGTATGCTAGAAGACCCCGCTATTCCATTACGTGTAAATTATATGGTAAAGGTTGGTTTTGGTGAAGGTCTACGTGTAATGAATAAATAAAAAATATTTTTAGCATACTATATCAAATACATGTTCACTATATATACAGATATAATCTGTTTTAAAAAAAAGTAGCAAAGTTATATTCATCAGTACACCTGAATAATTTAAATAATGCGTAGTGGTACCTTATTACGTCAGTATTAATAAATGTTGTATATTTTTACTGTTATATAACTGATACATCGTAGGGAATTTTTTTTTTATTAACCATACGATAATCTGAGGATTATTTTACATATAAGTACCTAACAATTGTTAAGGTACGTAAACACTACAACTAATTTGGTCAAATCGATAAACTTGGTTTGTGTACAAGTAAAATAAATCTACTTTAATAACGCAATGTGATAAAAATAAATGTTTCTTTTTAAAGCAAATCACATAACTATGTCGTAAGCATAAATATGTAATTATGTACGTACCAAAAATGAACCAAATTCCTTAAAATTATTATTATATTTTCTTGTGTTTTTTTATGTAATCTCATCTCCAATTTATTTTATTGTTATATTTCCATTTATTTGATATAATAATTCATACGCTGCTGTCATTATCGTTATTGTTGTATGATAAATGTTATTCTGTACTAAAATAATTTAAAAAAGTTGGCTACGTCATCCAAATAAAAATAATTCTTCGTTTCATTAAACAGATTTGTTATTCGTTTGTGTAATATGTGAAGTTACGACGTTCTTTGTTTTAAAAGTTTTCTGACAGGAAAATATTGTATATACCACTTATGCAGTAAAGTAAAATATTACATACAAAATTATGACTTACTTGTATCGGCGTATGCGACATTCAAGAATTAAAGACGGAGTTTATCGGTAATCTTATTTTCTGAATAAAAGTTCAGAAAATAAGCTTATCAATTTTCATTTTTTCGGGCTATGTTTTTACTCATGTGGTTAATATTATATTATTATTGTTACTAGTGGTTGCACAATGATCGAAATTCGACCATAGTTTAAATTATAAGATTGCACATTATTAAGGTTGACTATGCAATATGACTTGTCACTAGATAGTTTTATTGATATAACGTGCAGAATACAGTATATAACAACTCCAGTTCCAAACATCAGAGCTATGATAATTATGTTTTATTAAAATAATAATATATACATAATTTCATAGATTTTTTATTGTATCGTTAAATAAAAATAGACCTCATGCCTCATAATTGTGAAGTACATTTTTGTTCCTTTTCTATATATAATAAATAAAATAAAAAGAATAAAATTATTTCTTGTATAATTTTTTTTTATTTTAATGAAAACAGTATGAAATGTAGGTACGTCATATCCGATCCTTAAGATCTCCGAATTTAAGACACATTTAAGTTTTGCACTACTTTTCACTTCCTCGTGCGTGGTATAACGTATCTATTATTCATATTAACCTTCCTTTTGAATCTGAAACGCCATTAAAATTTGATGCGTAATTTATAAGATAGACAATAAATCTAGACTCAAGCTAACCAGAGTTTGGTTATGGGTATATTAGATAACGGAAATAAATACTGAGGTTTTTTTTAATATATACACATAGAAAATACTGACACCTATACCATCGTACTAGTGAATACAAATGTTTGTACAGTGCAAGTCGTCCAACGCGTGACAATCGGAAGTAAGGTGGTGTACTAATTCACAGACAACGGAAGCCGCGATTGAACTACATTCGCAAGCAACCAAATCGACTCGAGCGCTACCTCTACAGTTTGTTCTAAATAAAAGTATACAATATTTAAACAAAGATAATTATAGTCATATGAAACCTTGAAACATAAGCTTTTAAAAAAAAACAACACCATAAAATAAACCATGTACCAACATGTTCATTTGCGTAATTAGGGCGTATGGGACAAATTACTCACTACGCTACCTGCGAGTTGCACTACCCTGTATGTACCCTTGTAAAAACCCCCGTGAACCTTCAATCCTTATCAGTCGCTTATCACCAGTTTACTGATACACATCTTCACAACCTACATTCATTGTTTTCAAGAAACCGAAGGTCACGAGGTTTTTAAGGGGTTACAGTGTAGCGTAACTACGCAGGTAGCGTAGTGAGTAATTTGTCCCTTACGCCCTAATTGCGCAAATTAACATGTTGATCAAATATCAAGATGTTCATTGATTTTGTGCTCGCGAGTGTATATAAATATATAGGTGCTTTGTTTTGTATTTCCCAACCTTCTTTATTAAGTTTTGTACATTTTTATACCTGTGATAGTTCATTACTTTTTTGTGAAATGATTAATTTAATCATCCAACATTTAATTATCCACCGTTTCTGATATCGTGCATCTGTCTTTTTTTTTTGTTAAAAGATACTACAGCCTTGGCCGAAAGTATTTGCCACCTTAGAAAAGTACAATTAACTAAAGGAGTACTTAATATTCAGACTGAGAAAAAAATTATATACATGTTTTTGTTTCAATACCTTGAATGCAAAATTATATTAATATATCGTATTGAAACCCTTAGCTTTAATTACAGCTTTTATTATTTTGGGTAAAGGTGAATTAAATTTTTACATTCTTCTGGTTTTATGTCATTTCGCTCTTGTATCAATTCTTTAAGTTTCTTTAGAAGTAATCGACTATGAGTTGGTTTGAATATAGTCGATTTTAAAGTAACTATATTCAAACCAACTCATAGTTGTTCTGAACTTATCATATGGGGCATATGGATTAATATGTAGTAGTAGCAGCTGTACCCGCTACTTCGTCCGCGTGGAATTTAACTTTATTTTTCTAATATTAAAGTAGCCTACGTTACTCCTTATTACATCAGCCACCTGCAAAAAAAGTCCCGTCAAAATTGGTCCAGCCATTTCAGAGATTAGCCGGAATAAACAGACAGACATAAATTAAAAAAAAATGTTATTGGTGTATGTACCGTATTTATATTCGAATACTTGATATATATTCATATTTCAGATACATTCAGGCACTCCAATTTTATTTATATGTATAGATATAGTGACGATTGCTTATTAGGTGGGCCGTCAGCTGGTTTGCCATTCTTAAAAAAAAGGCGTTTATAAACAAGTTGTAATTAATTTTTTGTCAAGTTAACAATACAATATTGACGTTTTTTGTCGTGATGAGTTATGTGTTTTGCGATTGAAGGTACATAGAGTATTTTATCCTAAGATAAAATCTACACTTTTCATACTATTGGACTGTTCAGTATCAAGTTTTCTACATTGTGTATAAAAAAATAAGCTCGCCCTTTGTACTAGAGTTATCGGATTGTAATAGTCATAATCATGTAGTCGGATTTGTAATAGATTTAACATAACTTTTTCTGTGAAGTCATTGGAGTCGGAATAAAATATGATATTCATAGGATTTTATTTATATGATATTGAAGGTAATTAAAGCAATGTAATTTATTTCTTGTAATAGAATATTTCAGGAAATTTGCTTTAATAGCTCAGTGAATACGTCATTCAAAGGCTAAGCCTTTAAGTTACTACGATAAAACAGCCATCCCGTCCCTCTAAATAATATATGTCACGAAGACGTCACTCAAAAAACAATACAGAATATTTTACACTAAGCTTAATCCTTACTGTAAAATATTCTGTTTTTGTTTTTATCTGTATATACCTATTTAAAAATCACAAAAGTATGGGAGTTTCCTTGTTTTATGCTGTACTGCTGTACTTGTGTTTTTATTTCATATTTTTATCGCAGATTTAACTTTATCATTACGTAATTACATTATGTTCGACCGCATGTTCATATAGAGTGATAATAGTGTGTAAGCTGTTAGACGGAAGCTCAAATTTAAAAACCCTTGTTTTAAGGGAGAAACACTGACGTAAAGAGAGTTCCTTTAAAGATGATGTAAAACGGTCGGTACGGACAACAACAAAGATGTCGATATCTGTCTTTGACGTATGACAACGTATTTGTATTAAATATTGAGATGCAGGTATATGTGGCAACTGACACTTAACGTACATCTGTGTAGCAGAGGCTGGTAGACCTCTGTTATGAACTGACAGATTGTTAATTAATGTATGGTGCTAT